GCCTGATTCGACAGTTGCGTCCCTTTCTGGATCGGGACTCGTTACGCACGGTCACTCATGCCCTCGTCACCTCCCGCCTGGACTATTGTAATGCTCTCTACATGGGGCTCCCCTTGAGGAGCACCCGGAGGCTCCAACTGGCGCAGAGTGTGGCCGCGTGGGTGGTAATGGGAGCAACATGGCGCTCCCATGTAACACCTCTCCTGCGCGAGCTGCACTGGCTCCCGGTGGTCTTCCGGGTGCGCTTCAAGGTTTTGGTTACCACCTTTAAAGCGCTCCATGGCTTAGGGCCTGGTTATTTACGGGACCGCCTACTACCACCAATAGCCTCCCACCGGCCAGTACGCTCTCATAGAGAGGGACTCCTCCGGGTGCCGTCAGCCAAACAGTGTCGACTGGCGGCCCCTAGGGGGAGAGCCTTCTCTGTGGGGGCACCTACCATCTGGAATGAGCTCCCCCCGGAGATACGGAGGATCCCGGATCTGCGCTCCTTCCGCCGTGCTGTGAAGACCTTTTTATTCCATCAAGCGGGCTTGGCCTGATCTCTTCCCTTTTTAAATATGTAAATTTTAATCTGTTTTTAAATTATTGGGGTATTTTAATTTGTCTGGGCCAAAAAGTTTAATTTGATTTTATCGGGTTTTTAAATTTTGTGTATTTATGTATTTTATTGTTGGCTGTTCACCGCCCTGAGTCCTTCGGGAGTAGGGCGGTATACAAATCAAATAAATAAATAAAATAAATAAATAATAAATAAATAGAGTCTTCTGCTATTGAATGAGATATGGTAAGGTAAAGGTAAAGGTTCCCCTCGTACATATGTGCTAGTCATTCCTGACTCTAGGGGTGGTGCTCATCTCCGTTTCAAAGCCGAAGAACCAGCAGTCTGAAGACGTCTCCATGGTCATGTGGCTGGCATGACTAAATGCCAAAGGCGCACGGAACGCTGTTACCTTCCCACCAAAGGTGGTCCCTATTTTTCTACTTGCATTTTTTATGTGCTTTCGAACTGCTAGATTGGCAGAAGCTGGGACAATAATGGGAGCTCACCCCGTTACGTGGCACTAGGGATTCGAACTACTGAACTGCTGATCTTTTGATTGAGAAGCTCAGCATCTTAGCCATTGAGCCACCATGTCGCCTATGTATTTGTATCCCACTTTTATTTTTACAAGTAACCCAAGGCAGTGAACATAACACACCTTCCTCTTCCAATTTTCTCCACAATAATCCTGTGGGGCGTGTTGGGCTGAGAGAGAATAACTGAGCCAAGGTCACCCCATGGCTTTCCTGGCTAAAGTTAATACGGCTATAAATGCTTTATTTTTTATTTTTATTTTTTATTTTTTTTTGCAATTATATAATGGTGAGAAATGAAAATGGTGTACAACTGTGTTTTGAGCCAAGTTTCAGTTTTTCATTTGACATGTGATGAGGCATTTTTTAATGCCTGCAGAAAGACAGCATACTCTTAAATTAAGGATAACTTGAGTAATTAATGATAACATCTGGAGATGTGGGACTGCTGGTTAAAATATTTGAAGGGCAGCAGTCAGGGGTAGCTGAAGTATAAGGTTCGTTTTGATTTAGGCGTGGCATATTTATGCCGGCAGAGATAAGACTAAACTACAGCTCCCAGCATCCTTCATAGGCTGGGTTAATTAGGGTTGTGGGAAAGTATAATTCAGTAGTGTGCAAAGAGTTATTGTCTTTCCTTTGCTTTTAATTAAAACCTGAGTAATTCTGAGTAATAACAGGGGCACATTGATATGATTCACATAATTCATTGGATATGATTTTTAAACTTTCTAAACAGTCTTTGTCTGCTTGCTCATTATTATGTTAACCATCTTAGTCCCAGATTTGAAACATAAAATATTTTAGGAATGACATTCTTATTGTAGCTTTGTCTAAAATAATTACTACTGCTTCTTGCCAGTATTATGCTCTGTGTATTGAGAAAATAAGAAAAAGTGTCTTGATGACTGCTTCATGTTGTTGTGTCTTTTTCAGTGGTGTTTCCCAAATATACCAGGTGATGGTATATTTGATGTAACCTATTTTTCAGAGGAAAAGAGAACTAAAGATAAACCAGGAATTAATTTAATTAATTCAAACCATAAAAGGTATTGCCACCAAAGTAGACAGGACTAAGTAAAAAGAGAGATTTGTGCATATTTTGTCTTTAGAAAATGGTTGAATCCAAGTGAATTTTTTTTGTATTTCTCTAGGGAGAATTTTCTACCAGTCATGTGCAAAGTTTTTCTATGCAAAAATGTGCCAGCCTCAAAGCTTATTGAATATGTTTAATTTTATTTATTAGATGTTATAGTCCACCTTTTCATCTGAAACTCAAGGTACTTTATATTTATTATTTATTTATTTATTTGTCAGATTTATATGCCGCCCTTCTCCCATAGGACTCGGGGCGGCTCGCAACAATAAGACAACCTGACAATAGATAAAAATTAAATAATATTAAAAACCAATTAAAATCCCCAAATCCCCAGTTAAAATCCACAGCAGATCAGAGAAGTTGCTGAAAGAGCCATGTCTTTAGGTCGGCGCCCTTTATTCCTAGCAATCTTGTGAGGTAGGCTGGGCTGAGAGAAAACAACTGGCCTAAAGTCAGCCAGTGTATATCCTCGGGTGAGACTGAACTTGAATCTGTTTTTTAAAATTCCTAGTCAAAACTTTCACTTACACTCAAAATGAAACATTTTCAAGACCTTTGTTTGGACATTGGAACAAAATATTGTTTTAAGCAGAGCATCTTGCAGGTAGAGGGTTAAATTGGGCAAGATTGTGAACAATGACTATTTGTTCTAATATTTATATCTAATATTTATTCTAATATTCCGAGTAGTGGAAATGATTCTTCATTATTGCAAGAGAAACAAAATGGCAGGAAAAAAAATCAGCAAAATGGCAGACTGAGTCTCTGTGAGCCACAAAAGCAGATGACATTGCAAACTCCCAAAAATGGCTACCGATTGTTGTTCCCAGTTCGCATCTGAGCCTGTTGCTGAGGCCAATGGAGGACACTAGACACGAGGTGCAGGTTTTGTTTTCTTTTATTGGAGTGCTCCAAGAAAAGGGGTCCTGGCCAAAATGCCAAGAAACCAGAACAAAGGTTTAAGAAAACTTTTTTCTTTTTTTATTTTTCTTAAGAAAAATTTTCACTAAAGCCGAAGGCGGGACAAGGCGGGCTATATAAGAAATATAATCTAATAAGCATTTTTTAGGGGGACATACATAACTCTCCCGAGCTTAATTTTCACTGGCAGATGGTTGCAGGAGGCTATCCCAGCCGAAAACTGAGCTCGGGAGCCAGTTTTTGTTGGCAGAGCGCTTGGGCCACCGGTGCTCCTGACACGAGTGATGTCAAGCTGGCCATGCCCATCCTGGCCATGCCCCCCCACCTCCCCAAGGTCAAACATAACCCTGATGCGGCCCTCAATGAAATTGAGTTTGACACCCCTGCTCTAGGCCATTTCTATTCCTAACTTTTAGCTGAACTATGCAGGATGTCTAACTCTTTGTTACTGTTATCAGTCCACTAATCACCTAAAATTGTTACAAGCTTTACACATGCATATTCTCTGCGAATAAGCATTCTTTGTTTTTGCCAGATAGACAGAATTACAGGCTTCCTGGTCTCCTTTCAAGTGTATGCCATAACCTTGCTTTGTTTTAGCAGCCCACCCATCACAATGGTATCTGTTACTACTGTCTATGAAAATATATATGAATCACCATATAATTTGGAAAGTTATGAACAAAATGAGCAGTGGTGGGTTTCCAATATTCTTACCACTGGTTCGCCACGCCCATCCCTTCCGCACATGTGCCCAGCCTTCAAAACATCCCAAAACAGGATGTCATAGAGCTGCCCACCCACGATCTCCGCTACCGGTTCACCTGAATTGGTATGAACCAACTGAATACCATCTCTGAAAATGAGTGAATATAAAGTTTCAATAGAGCAGTTCCAGTGGTGAAATCCATTTTTTTTTTACTACCAGTTCTGTGGGCGTGGCTTGGTGGACGTGGCTTGGTGGGCATGGCAGGGGAAGAATACTGCAAAATCTCCATTCCCACCCCACTCCAGGGGAAGGATACTGCAAAATCCCCATTCTCTCCCCATTCCTGGGGGAAGGATATTGTAAAATTTCCATTTCCACCCCACTCTGGGGCCAGCCAGAGGTGGTATTTGCCGGTTCTCCAAACTACTCAAAATTTCTGCTACCAGTTCTCCAGAACCTGACAGAATCTGCTGGATTTCACCCCCGAGCAGTTCTATAGATCAAATATATATAGTAGGCCTTTATTAGTTCTGATCAGAAAACACATATTCTGAGGAACAATTCCTCAGAGAACAACAGAGATTTTCCAGGTTGTTTTCTTTTCTTTCTTCCTTTCTTTCCTTCCTTTTCCTTCCCTTCCCTCTCCTTTCCTCCCCTCTCCTTGCCTTCTTTCTTTCCCTCTTTTTTTCTTTCTTCCTTGCATCTGTGAAAACTGTACTCCTATTTTTCAACTTTTATTTTGGAGTAAAAGTTTAGAGGAGTGGGTCACCTTTCAAATCTAGGAAGTCAAGAGTTTATTTCCACTTCGGGCCCAACCCTGATTTTGGAACAGAAATAGCATTGATCACCCTGATGGATGATATTAGCTGGAAAATAGACAGTGTGTGCATAACTGTGTTCTCCTGAATCATTCTTCAGCTTTTGATGGAGCTATCAATTTTTATCATAGCATCTTTTTAGATTGCCTGGCTGGATTGGATTTAGGGTTATAGTGTATGGTTTTGAAAGGGACCTGAGAAATGAATTAGTGTCAGAATATCCCCAGCATTTTCTAGCAAGACTGTGGGACAAAAGGCTGAAGAAAGACTGCTTTGACCCCTGGCCTTTAGTCTGGCACCACAAAGTTCGATCAATCCCATTTAAAATCTAGGCAAAACTTTTGTGAGAAAAGCCATACAGATATATGGCTTTTCTCATACTCATATATAAGTACATTATTATAATTATTCAGACATAGCTCCACCTCTTTTTTTTTCAGATGCTCATTCGCCCAGCTGCTAATCCTGGGGAGGCTATAAGATTGCTGCCTGGAAGTATTTTTGAATGAATGTAAGTAAGAAAAAAAATTAATTTAGACAAAAAGGTTCTGTACTTACAAAAATCAGCTGATAAAGTAATAAAAAAACCCAAAATTCTTCAGAATGAAAGTATATTATTTTGATATCAGGAAACCCAATACAATACATTTTTATTAATGCTGTACAGTGTATGTGTGTAGTAATTATAGTGGTAAGGCTGAATAATCAAGGACATAATATAGATCTATAAACCAAATTTTTTACCTGCCATCAGGAAGAAGATATAGAAGCCTAGCCAATCGCACAAACAGGCTGAAGAACAGTTTTTATCTGTGGGCTGACAGACTCCTGAATGTGAAATAACATCATAACTACATAGTACGATGGACTTGCATCATTACAGGCGTAACATGTTCACACTGGTGCAATAGGACTGGGGGTTGTTAATATGTTTTATTGGGTTAAGGATTTTCTGTCTTCTCTGTGAGTTGTATTGTGTTTGGGGGGGGTGCACTGAGGGAGCTCAACCAATCTCACTGTACATATGTTGTGCACTGACAATAAAGATTTGAATTGAATTTTGATTAAAATTTGGAGGGTCTGCTTATCTGCAGATGGGCTTATACATGAAGGGAATATGGGTGCTTTTAAAAAGTGTTACCATATATAGTCTTTAATAAGCCCATCCCTGGATAAGTTGTACCTGATTTTTATAGAAGCATTTTGACACCTAAAATTCTCATCTTAACGGTAAATATTTGCAGTATTAAGGAAACTTGAGGAAAATAATAGTATGCATTTGCCTCCCACCCACTACCATTCTGATTTTACTTTCTACTTAGTTTACTCCACCTAGCTCCTTGTTATTGAAACCTTCAAGGCAAGGTCTTGTTTCATATCTGCCGTGTGACACCCATCACATGGTAATGCAACAGATATGCATTATTGCCAGATGATTTTTACATGGCCAGAAGCCATTTGACACTAAGAACAATTTTATTCAATATTGTACCATGGCAGAGGTGGTATTCCCTTTTCCCTTTGTGCATGAACCTTTAATATTTTCCTCCCCTTTTATCAGCATGGTAGACTGGAGTTTTGCCACTTTCCTTCTGTGAGAGTAATATGTGAAAAAGAAAATCTAAGCTTGGGACTGTGATACGTTCCTGAGTTTTATAGCAAAAGGCAGAACCCGTGGCCTACAAATTGTGGGACTTCTTGGAATGTCAGAGTTATGTTGACCATAATCCCTTTCCCTTTTAACAGAATAACAGAGGGACATTGGAAGTCTTCTAGTCCCACCCATTGGCCAAGCAGGAGACCCTATACCACAACACAAGTGTTTGGAGACTACAGTTGGTCCAGAACGCAGCCGCGCGAGCTGTCGTGGGTTCACCTAGTTACACCCACATTATACCAATTCTCCGCGAGCTGCACTGGCTCCCTATTGGTCTCCGGTCACAATCCAAGGTGTTGGTTATTACCTTTAAAGCCCTACATTGTTCAGGGCCAGGTTATCTTCGAGACCACCTTCTGCTGCATAGCTCCCAGTGACCGGTAAGATCCCACAGAGTTGGTCTCTCCGGGTCCAATCAGCTAAAAAATGCCGGCTGGCAGGCCCGCGGGGGAGGGCCTTCTCTGTGGCTGCCCCAGCTCTCTGGAACCAATTACCTCCTGAAGTCCGGACCATCCCCACCCTGGCCTTCCAAAAAGTGGTGAAGACCTGGCTTTTCCAGCAGGCCTGGGGCCGTTGATCTCGCTCTTGTGATCTGGAGAGATCTGGCCATGAATGGCGTGAATGAGTTTTTAATGTTTTTAATGTTTTTAATTTTTCAATGTTTTTTTATAATTATTTTTTAAAATGTATTGTAAGCCGCCCTGAGTCTTCGGAGACAAATGGCAAATTTAGACAAATGGCTGTCCAATCTCTTCTTAAAAGCCTCCAATGTTGGAGCACCCATAGCTTCTGGAGGCAAGTCATTCCACTGATTAACTGTTCTAATAATCATGAAATTTCTCCTTAATTCTAGGCTGATTCTCTCCTTCATTAGTTTCCCCCATTGCTTCTTCTCCTGTCTTCAGATACTTTGGAGAATAGGTTGACCCCCTGTTCTTTTGGCAGACCCTTAGGTATTGGAAGACTGCTATCATGTCACCCCTAATCCTTCTTTTCATTAAACTAGACATAGCCAATTCCTTCAACCACTCTTCATATGTTTTATTTTATTTTTATTTTATTTATATAGCTCAGTATGAATTTATTGAGTGTAGATTCCTGTATTTCATGCCTGAATTTGATCCCGTCAGATAACACCCTGCAATGAAAACAAACCAGCAAGACACCTGAGCAAGACACACCTGTTCAACCAGAATCTGGTTCTTGGTTTAGTTGCTTGGTGATTTCATAGCTTATTTTTCATTGCGTCATAATGTCTCTAGCACATTGCAGCCTTCCTGGCTTCTAAAGTACATTTAGACTAGTAAGCGAGATATTTGTAAGAACTCATTCAATGAAACCCATTCCTCTCAGAAAGTATGGAGGTTGCATTGCAATACTTGGATAAGTATCAGTGGATCAGCAAAACAACCCAATAGACAATGACATTTTGTAAACTAATACTTAGGAGAAATTATCTATCTTAATTTAAACAAGAATATGGTTGTTCCATATTGGTTGGAATTTTTTTTAACATGTTGATCCAGATTCTAGGAAAAGAATTAAGATTTAAATGTTTTAATATATGGTTAAATATCCAGTAGCATTGCACTGGAGCATTCCACTAGGATTTTGTCTTCCCCCTTTTCTTACTGCACTTCAGTTCCTGCACCACCCAATCTGGCAATTTTCTAAGCTATCCAATGATTGGCTGCAGCTTTTGATTACAGACTGCAGGCCTTGCTAGCCAGTATCCAGACAGATTCTTCTCATTAGTAACCAGAGTGATTCTTCACTGCAGCTGACTGACAGAAGCAGCTTCTGATAGATGGTAACACCATTGTTTTCGTTGCTAGCAGATAATGCGTGTACAGTTTTTATGCTCAAGAATAAACTATAATAATTTTTTTTTAAAAAAAATTCTAAATTTTGTCATAGTGGCATGTATTTTCCTCCACTAGCTCCATATCTCCTGTCGAAATCTATCACCTGAGGCTCATTTTCGTGAACTAAACTATGGCGAGCTTAATGTTCACCTAATCCCATTTATGTCACACTGTAAATTTGGCACTGATATATCTACTCATATGAAATAAAAGCATAAATATCCTCTCCTTGCACAAACACAAAGCACTGTTCTTCATATATATTTATTTAGAACAGTCTAATGTAGATGCTGCCTAGAGTGCTCTGAGTTGTATTTCAGGAATGTATGTGTGTGTATGTGTGCACATATATATGTATATGTAGATATACACATTCATATATATATGAGAGAGAGAGAGAGAGAGATGCATATACATATATACACACTCACATGTTCCTGAAATACAATTTTCACACACATACACACACGTTCCTGAAATACAACTCAGAGCACTCTAGCCAGCATCTACATTAGACTGAGATGCTGAAAGCTAGAATCAGTAGCATATGGTTTCCAGGGGTGGGTTTCACTTACCTTTGCTACTGGTTCGCTCGTGTGCGTGTGTGCGCTTAACTCTCACGTGCGCCACTTCTGCGCATGCAGAGTGTTTTTGATGACGTCCGGGCAGGTGGGCGGAGCCTCCTGCCACCGCTGCTACCAGTTCGCCCAAACTGGGGCGAACCAGTAGCAACCCATCACTGATGGTTTCCCATCCTAAGTATGAGTCATGATTTATTTATGTAAAAAAAAAATCAACCTTTCATTCATTATGGTTCTGTTAGGACCCCAGTCATAGGAATGCAGGTACACATGTACACATGCTTGATCCACTTCTGTGTACTAAATTCTATGACCAACCTCTCTCATTAGCCTCTCTCATTAGAGCAGTGCAACTCAATCTTAGCAACTTTAAGAAGTTTGGATTTAATTCCCAGCATTCCCTAGCCAGCATGTTGGTCTCTCAAAAATCTGGCTTCCCCCATTGACTTTGCTTGTCAGAAGTTGGTTGGATACATCACAGGTAGCATTGACATGACCCTGAGGTGCTGCAACTATTGCAAATACATGCTGGTTACCAATGCCCAATATTTGATCACATAATCATGGGGATGCTGCAAAAGTCATAATTATAACAACTGGTTGTAAGTCACTTTTTTTCAGTATCATTGTAACTTTGAATGTTTGCTAAATGAATGGTTGTAATCAAGGACTATTTGTATACCCTGTTTTCTCCAAAATAAGACATCCCCTGATAATAAGCCCAATCGGGCTTTTGAGCGCATGGCAATAAGGCCAAGCGCTTATTTCAGGGTTCAAAAAAATATAAGACAGGGTCTTATTTTTGGAGAAACACAGTAGAAGGGTTGTTTCCCCATTCACTTTTGACCTATTTTAGCCTCCAATATCATAATAATCCAGTTTGTGATTCAGTGCCATTGTGTGCTGGTCTCCAGTCCAAATGAACTAAAATTCTCTTACAAGTAGGTGGGGTTCTTTTTGGAGGCATGACTTTAAAAGAAATCTACCTATAGGATAGTTAAACATCTTCTGTAAAAATGGAAGGGAGGGAAGAAGGATATGGGAAAGATAGCCTTTTGACCGCAATAGTTTGGTCAGATAGGAGTTAAAAATGACTCTGAATGAGGAATGGAGATAGAATTTCCATTAGCCAAAAAGGTTGAAGTTTCCTTGTCAATCAAGTAATAATGGCAAGATATGATCCTACCTTAAATTATGGTGAGAAAAAGCCACAAAAGGTACTTTTTTGCAGTGTTTATTGCCCTTAAAATAATTTAAATTCGTGCAGCTGTAAGCAAAATTGGATCCTTAACAGAGTTTTGGATTTATTTTAATTCATTTCCAAATAACAGTCCAGTATTTCCCATCTCCTGACAAGCTAGAAAATTACTATCTTATCACAACAGTATCACTGCAATTACATTACATGTGATATTGGAATTGTAGAGTTCTGTTGTGAAAAATTACTTATTACCTGGTCTGGATAGGTAGCAAATGGGACATGTTTGCGTTGCTACACTGATGACAGCTGCTTTAGAAAACTTCAACTTAATTTCCTTCGTAATCTCAGAAAATTGCTGCCTGATCTGTCAGTATCACATTCCAATTTACAAATTTATTTGTTATTCACTCAATAAGGCGTGTGTTTTCTTCCATCCAAACCATCAGGTTTTCAGGTTTTTTTCCACCTTACTACAAAACAAGAATGCAGACTGCTAGATTTAGGATCATCATGCAATCATAAAAATAAAACTAAAGGCAGATTGGTTTCTGATTTAGCTTGGGGATCTTGATATACTACTCAGGATTCCGTCCCCTTTTTTTAATGAAGATATATTATTGATTGATTGACTGATTGATTTAGATTTTTTTACCCACCCTTTATTATTTTTTATAAATAACTCAAGGTGGCAAACATACCAAATACTCCTTCTTCCTCTTTGGAGGAAGAGAAGGAAGAAGAGGAGGAGTTGCTT